CTGCAATGGAGCTACTGCCACTTAGCATTTCTGATCTTTCTTCTACTTTTTGTCCACCCTGCAGTTTCTAGTTTGTTGTTTGATATTGTTGCCTGTTCCAGCCTTCCCATTTTTTAAACCATCGTGGGGCAACTTATTCCACATGGACATCACTCACAAGTGTCTCCATCAGTAGCTGCACAGCAGACAGAAGAAAGCCACCCAAGGACGGCAATATCTCTGAGCAGGACACTTGTTGAACATTCTCTGAAATTGTTTGGAAACAGATTTTTCATATTCTGTGATATCTCGCTTTGCAAACTTAAGTTTTTCTTGCTCATTAAAATTTTGTTGCATCCCACCGCAGCCTTCTGGTTTCCCTTCTTCCCTTCCTCCACAGCTTGTCCTGGGTGATATCTTCCCACCGGTGGGACCAAGCTGCTCGACTGCAGAACATTTTAGCACAGACTGAATTTACCTGCATAGTAGCTTAACTCCTGTTATTTAAACATGGTTTCAGCAGGGCCTTTCCATCAGCATCCAGAGAATTGTGGGTTTCCATGTTGACCTCAGCATGACCAGAAATGCCACCAAGGTGGTGCCCAGCAGGGTACTTTCCAAATGTACCTTTGCACCTATAAACTCACAGATCCAATGCTCAATCTACAGCACTGGCATTGCTCAGCTGTACTTAAACTCCAGGCAACCCTAGCAGCTCATACGTATCCCCCCTTGCAGTTGTAGCCCTTCCACCCCAGTAAAAAAGAGGAATAATCCCTGTTCCCTCTAAGAAATAACTGCAGTACATCAGGAGCAGCAGGGGCTCGGTGCTTCTAAGCTCCTGATAATACAGCCAATTCAAATTGTAATTAAGCTGCAAATGAGGCATGTTCAGTGCTGTGCAAACAAAGAATAAAGCCAATCCCTGCCCTCAAGTGCTTCCAGGGTAAAGAGAGAAGCCAAGCAAAGCATGAGCATCTTTCCCTTTTTTTTTTTTTTTTTTTTTTTTGTAGATAGGCATCTTTTACGCAGAGATTAAAGGCTGTCTTTTTTATACTGACAAAAACATCTGTAAATATTTAACCCTGGTGACAAAGGAAACGCTTGGCAAAGCCCAGAGCTTAATTCCTCTCTCCGATATCCCCATCTAACAACCGACATACGGTCTCTGCTTCCAGATTTCTATTCCACTGCTTAGCTTCAGGTTTGCTTTCCACTCTGAGTCTCACCTCCTTTAGGAAAAGAGGGAAATAGCAGCAGGTAAGGAGCACGCCACGGAATATTCCTGTCTGCCTCTTTGCTCTGGTGTCAGGAACACTGGCGTATGTTGGGACAGGGAGGATTTCAGTAATGCTGACGTCCAGGTTAATACTCTGCTGTGCCTGTAATCTGGGTCAGTGTGACTGCTATGTGTGAGTCAGTAACGATGGTGTTGAAAAGCAAAAATATCCTTTTTTCCCAGACAGAGCTCTGAAAATGAGATAACCAGTCAAACCAACACGTTTTCATGGACTTCTGCTTATTTTATCTGAAAGACTGTACATGGCATGACCGGCAGCATACAGGATATAAGGAATTCAACATATCATAGAATTGTGGAATTATGGAGTGGTTTTGTCCCCTTAGGGTATCAGTTTGGGTTGGAAAGAACTTTTAAAGATCACCTAGTGCAACCCCCATGGCGTGGGCAGGGACACCTTTCACTGGATCAGCTCCCAGCCAACCTGACCTTGAGCACTTCCAAAAAACCAGTGGTCTAAGGATTCCCAGCCATAGCTTATTATAATTTGTTTTCTAAGTAAGAGGGGAGAACAAGCTAAAAAATTATTCCTTTCTTCAGTTTTCTCTGACAGAGCATTTTATTAAAAACATCTGAAACGTTCAAGTTTAGTTCCTCCAGCTGCAAAACTTTGCTAAATCCTCCGGAATCGCGCCTTGGAAGGAAGCCGGCATTCAGCGGGGCATATTCCTGGTTCTGTTACACGGAGCCATTGTGCCTGCAGGCTGTTTACCAGTGGTGTGAGTCTGAACCACATAAAAAACCCATTAGGCTCTAGCAGTGACTAAATATTGAGTAAATCCACCTATTTAAATCCAACATGAGAGGCTTAACTCCCACAGATATCTGTCTTGCGCTGTAATTTAGCCCGTGGGGAGGACGTCTACTTCAGGCTGTGTTTACAACACCTTTATGAATCAACTTCTGATTGCATCTCATTTACCAATACAGTTACCTTGTACTGGGATATAAACACACGCTCAGAGTGCATTCAATGAGAGAGAGGAGAGCGCAGTGACCTCTATAGTTCAAGATGAGACTGTGATTTCATTTATTGTTGCTTCCTGTTCTTGGTAATTACGTGTTTCACTGACAGGAGGAACAGGCATCCGAGTTGCTGGTGCTGTCGAGAGCCTGGATGTCCCATGACGAAGCACTGTGGGAGACCTCACAGTCGGGTCTGGTCCCCATGTCGCAGTGTGCAACTGTTACCGAAATCGGGAAGAATGAACCTCATAACACCAATGTAGTGTTAGAAGGCAGGCCTTCTTTATTCACGGCGCCGGATGCACGGGGGATCGCTCCACCTAACGTGCATACCATCAAGCGGCAACTTGTCCGTTTATATGTAGCAAAGTATTACATATGTATGAATTTTTCCAATATGCCTATACATATGCATAACCTGTCTCCGCTTTGTATTAAAATTAGCTTCAGGAGGTCATTTCCATAAGTCCCTCCCCACTGCGCCTGCTCAGTGCCTCCTGGTGGTGGTCGTCGGGGGTCGTGGGGATGAAGGCCGATGGCTCCTCTTCATCACCGCTAGTAACCCCTTGTTCTTGCGCAGACTCAGTTGCTCCTTGGCTCTTGCCCAAACTGCAGGGTTGGTGTAGACCAGCTCTTGAGGTAAACACCTGGTTCTTATCAAAAAACTGTCCTTTGTAAGGAGCCACAAATCTTTCTACATCAATTAGTTCTCATTCCTTCTAGTCTGGCAACCTTGGCAAACCATTATTATCTTTTGCTTCACCCCCTCCCGATTCTCCCCGTCCTTGAATAGGGTTCTAAATTCACTAAGTAACTATACTACAGACTTTAAGAAGAACAAAAAAATCTAAGCTAGACACTACTGACTTTAACAAAGCAACCGCAAGCTAGACAAAGCTGATAACAAAGCAACAGCAAGATAGACAATATTAATTTTAGCAAAGTAACAGCGAGCTAGACAATAAGGCCTAAATCTTATGCATGTAAGCTGTTTTACATTTGGGGTCTTTTTGACCCTTAGGGTATCACAGCCAACTGTCAAGATCTCAGCGCTGCTTCCAGGTTATCATGATAACCAGCAGCTCCCATCTCCTATGTGCATGTGGTGCGACCTGAGATGCGTGGGGTCCACCAGTGAAGTGACTGCTTTTATCTTCCGCTGCCTTCGCCTGCGATTACATTTACATGAACATGCAATCCACGTTCAGCCTGCTGTGCATTTGGGAAGTGGCAGATTGCTGATGCTCAGGAGCAGCACAGGGAAGGCAGGTAAAGGTCTGTCCTTTGGTCTTTGCTCTGGTCTATGGTCCTAACGTGCAAATTCAGGTGAGCAGATGAGAATCAGCAACGCAAATTTTGCAGTTGCTGCTCTCCGAGGGGCAATCTCTGCAGGTCCCTTTACCAAATAACGCTGTTGGGGAGTGCTATGTCTTCAAGCACCATTCAAAGCCGGTAGCATCGACTGATCAATTAATGCATACTACAGTGATCTATTTATAGCCTGGGCTCTAACTTCTGACTCCCACATGTGCCTTTGCTGTAGTTCAACACATACGTAGGCAGAGCGGCTTCATCCAGGTACGCTGAGAACACCCACACCGAAGGGTGTCTGGCTGCACCCTCCCGCCGCAGCATGAGAAACTGGCTGGGATTGCAAGTCCAGTGCGGACGTGCAGCAAGATGGCCTGAGAAGAGGATTGATGTAATTCTACTTTTTCGCGTGGGATGCAAACAAAAATCTTGAAAACAGGATTTCTGTAGTGATCAACACCATAGCGATGTGTCTCGAAAACACCTGATCTGGTTGCTTTAGTGCTTGGCCCAAATCAGCAGTGGGGTTTTGACAGCGTCCTAGTGGCTCCAGGAATAATCATGCGGTGCATTGGAGGCAGAAGAAACATGAAAACAAGATAAAGCCTTCAGACACATCTGAACAAGAAAGGGGTGTTGCCTGGCTACCTCATTGTAGCCTCCTCATTTAAGCTCGTTTTACAAGTGAAGTCACACCTCCAAACCCTTTGAAGTTATTACCACATACTTGGTCCTGTCCAAACAAACTTCTGCAGCGTGTCAGTGCATTGCTGGTATTCCTCGGAACAGCGCCTTCACACAGGGGAGAGCCCTGCCTGATGTCTGGTCCATCAGAGAGTCCTGGTTGGCATTTGCAAACGCAGGACGGGGGTGAATGCCTCTTAATAGCTGTACTAATTGTATGCAAATTGCATCACTAGAAAAACAGCTCTACAGGACATACTGAGCCGCCTGGAAGGGGGTGGTGGTTGTTGAACCGTGAGAAGTGCTGAACATGCCAGGTATCCACAGTCATCTGTGAGTAGCCTGAAGTTTAGATGTAAAATTCCTGAGACAAAACGTATTATTTGGCCTGAATGATCTGTGTTGCTCTGCAGGGAAGGCTTAAGAATTATTCTTTTATTTCTTTTAACTGGGACTGCCAAGAATTCAGAGGTATTAATGGGAAAGTTCAAAGAATTCACAGAATTTCAGCGAAGATTTGCCGTTCAGTTAAAAATTCCCGTTGGCTGTTCAAAGGAAAGATCTCCCCACAGTGTGTTTCACACTATTATTAAACAATGAAAAATGTCATAAAATCAATATATGGGGGTGTAATTAAATTAGAGCCTCAGGCAAGTAGTGAGACACAGGGAAGGCCTTCAAAGTTACTCGTGGGTTGAACTTTCTTTGCTGGCATCTAGCAAATACATACTGAAACCACACCTGTCCTGAAGGAAACTTCAAGGGTTACAAAACATGTTCATCCAGCGTGAAATCACTTTTGTGTGGAAGGCAGTCATTACGCTCGCTCCTGCTTAAAGGGCCTGGTCACCTTCCAGCTTTAGGTGTTGAAAGAAAGCAAACGCTGTCGTGTTTTACTACGGAGATTGATGCTCACCCGGAATGGTATATAAACAAAAAAGGGTGGACAAAACAAAAAAAAAAACTACAAGAAAGCTCAGAATTTTGATGCACAATAATTTAATGAGAAAGTAAGAAGCAAAAGATCTTATGGAGAATAAAAAAAACCCAGGGAAAATATTGCCAGGGTCTCATTAAAGGCTGCAAGCAAAGAATTGCTCCAGGGTTATGTATTCCACATGGATTATTCTTTCTTTTTCAAGGCATGGGAAGACTTACATGATCTTGTCCCACTTTCAGTGAGCTGCAGACCATCGATATCACTAATTCAAGGCCACTATTATCAGGAGCCACCAGAAAGAATAGTCAGAAAATTAAAGTAGATCATTAGTTTGAGAATGACACGTGAGTGGGATTTTCAGAGATGCCCAGTCCGTGCTCCAGGACAGCAGTGCCAGTAATGGGGTTGCGGAGGCACATGTTCCTCCATGTTGGGTGATTGCTTCTTGCTCCTTATTCACTGCATATTTAACATGGTCTGCAGCTCCCCAAACCATAACCACAGGCTCCGTAGGAAGAATAAGACCTCCCAAAATTGTACAAGCTCCTAGAGCCATAGGAGCCACTGGAACCCAGAGAGCTCGTGGATCCAAACAAGCTCCCAATGCTGGATGGTGCTGAGCTGCCCACTATGCTCTCCTGAGGGCAGGAGCTGAGAATGGGTCCTGGGAAGGTCACGACAACGGGTGGTGGGTAGATCACAGCTCTCGAATCACCACAGGACGTAGCACAGGGCTGGCTCCAGGCATCCGCAATTGGCTGCGGGCAGGTCACGTTGCAGGGTGCAAGGCAGCGGGAGCTGATCGTCCGGCTGTAGGAAGACATCTTCTGGGGCTGGAGATCAATCTGGAACACACAGCACCAAGGCAACACAAGGCTGAAAGCTCAGACACCAACATAATGGAGATTGTGCTTGGGAGGGAAGGAATGCACGATAGCAAGAAGAGCAGACGGAGGCTGAAGATTTCAGTTTTGTCTCAGCAGCCAGGTCCCTTTCCTCATGTTCTCATCCCCTCCTCCTCTCCCCCAGAACAATCTCAGTTTCTTTTGGTTCCTAATTATTGAGCAAGTTTGATACATAAAAAAATCATTAAAAATCAAAGAAATTGTCTATTTGGACTTGAGCTATCCCCCTATCCTTTAACTTTTCTCCCTTCCACAATTCCCTTCTGAATCCTACTCTGACACTTGACCATTTCTTTTATAAATAACTGCAGAGAAGAATGGAAACACCGGCTAGCACTTACATGGGAACACCCCGCACTGGTTCTGCACCGCCCGTAATCATTACAACTGTATGAGGCAAGTCGGTGTTATCCCAGCAGTTAAGGTAACTGAGGCTGAGGAGTGAATGCGTTGCCCAGAGCCATTTGGTGAGGCAAGAGGAGAGTCGGAGTTAAAATTCCGGCAAGCCTGGTTGTTAATGATGGTGTTATTCCCCCGTCTTTCAGATGCTACAGCTGGAACCAGGGCTCCCCTGCCTGTTCTTCACATGGATAAAATGAGCAGCAGCCTCAGCCCTGAAGAGCTCATAGAGTTTGCTCGGCAGAATATCCCATGGTTTTGGGTGGGAATGCGGTATCAGTGAGGTTTCCAGTATAACTGGGACGCCTGCGAATGTGGTCCCAGCTGTCCTGGTAAAGATGACTGAGGGGACAGATGGCTGTGGCAGAGCTAGGAGCTGTGCCTAATTTTGTGGAGTTTTTTTCTTTAATCCTAAGGTCACTTGATTGCTCGTAAGGTCGATTTGCAGCTCCTCTTGATCTCCCTCCTGCCTTACTAAAACCCATAACGTGAAAGGCTGGGAGTAAAGAAAAGGAATAAAGCCCTGATCATAACAAGCACATAATGTAAGGCATGAGAGACTTCATATTAATTCAGAAATAATTACAAAGAACAGGACAAAACAGTTTTGCTAGTGGTGGCTTCCTAGTTCAGTCTCAAACTCAGAGTTACCTTTTCTTGGTAGTCACCATTGCAAGTCAATGCAGGCCAAGTAAGGCCGATTCGTAAGGGCAGGAGGGTCAGGCTGGAGAGGTGGTGGAGGCCCCATCCCTGGAAACATTCAAGGCCAGGTTGGATGGGGCTCTGAGCAGCCTGATCTAGTTAGCGGTGTCCCTGCTCCTGCGGGGGCGTTGGACTAGATGACCTCTAGGGGTCCCTTCCAACCCAAAACATTCTATGATTCTATGATTCTATGATTCTATGATTCTATGATTCTGTGAAATAGGAATTCGATAAATCTCACTATAAATAAGTTTGCACGCCCCAAACTTCCAACTGTTCTGAAGACTCCTGCCCTTCTACAGCCTGCCCTACCCTCAGTAAGTAGGAAACTGCTCTTTCTGAAAGAAAGTGTCCAACATTTCACCCGTTTCTAAGGACCACAGTTTTGTTTCAGTTAAAATCCTGGATTGCTACAGCAGCGTTGTGATAGCAATAGCATCAGGTTCAGACTTACCCCGGTCACAGCACAGAGCAGGTCAGGAGAAATGCTTAGAGCAGCCGAGAACTGGGAGCGCTTTTATGCCTTTTCTTAGGCAACCAGGAGGATATGAAGCATTCTTCATGCATGATGCCCTAATGCATTATCAAACAAAAATTCACTCCACCTGTAACTGCCCCAGATAACGCAACTACTTCGCTCAGCGATGGTGATTACTGTTGCGTTCTTGGCATTAGTCTTGCAGAGCAATTTTTTTTTTTCTTTTATTGCTTTTTCCTATTTCTCTGATTGCCTCATGGAGCAAAGATTGCTCAGGAGTTTATCCATAAACACAATATGCTGACATACTCGAGATACTACCCCACTTCCCCAGGTCATGCTGCAGTAAGGGGCATTGTGCAATTTTTCCCATCGTACACACGCACATTATTTCCTATGACTCTGATATGAGGCACATGAGACTCCAGAGACACCTTCTTACCAAGCTTGGAAATGGGAAATGTTTGTTCCCGGCCAAGAAACCAACACCAAACACACGTCCCGCTTCAAGCTTTAAAAGTAGAAATGGAGTAACCTCTGAGCAGGGAGCTGCTGTTTTCCAGCCCTGGCATGAGGGACAGGAGCCTCAAACAAAGAGAAATTCATGTCCAGCTTTCATTGTCAGGCACGCCATGGGATCATTGCTGAAGACCTCAGGGCTCCTGATGGATGAACAATTCATGGTTTGGGGTGGAACAGGTCAGGGAGTGAAGCCATGCATCACCCTAGGAGAACCTTGAGGCAGTCTAAGAGGATGCGGAAGATTGGCTGCTTACTTCAGCAGGTTTATTCCTCTGACCCAATACCCTGTCTTCAGTTCTTCAGTTATTTACAGATAAATCTATTTCCAATAGTGCCTGTCCATTTTGTGTACCCAAGCTGACATAATTTACGAGTGCTTTGTTAACCTCAAGAGGGTTAGTTCTTCCCTTCTACAATCCAGCCCCTTCTACAGAATTTCAAGTCAAATGCCTGGTTTTGAGCAACCTCAAGACTTCTGTTCTAAAATGTTATTTTATTCTGGTTTGCCCATTGGCATTTGGTAACTGTTACCAGTCCTGCAGTGTAATACCATACAGGTGACTGATGCAAGAAGGCTGAGGAAGTCTCTTTTCCGGGGCCACCTTGGGATTCCCTTCAGCGTTGTTTCCTAGCAGTGCCGGTGGAGACACCCTTTAAAGCTACTGATAGTTTATGGTAGAGGATTCTCATAAACGAGAAACAGGAATAGAAACAAAGGGAAGAAGATGTGGGGAAACAACCCACTCGGTCTGCTCCTCCTGCCCGAACCACACCTGGTTTCACTGTGGCTGGATGCGGGTGAGGACAGTGATGACATATACCTACAGATACCCGCCAATGAATCACAGAATTCCTGGAGATGCACCCCTCTTCTAACCATCCTGCCCTCCTGATAGGCCAAACGGAGCTGCATACTGGTATCAATACTGCTGACACCCCAAACTGCTTCTTTTGACTCATGATATTTGGCGTTGCAGCCACATCCTTCACTTTTGTAACTTTATGGACGCACAAAGTGGCATCCGGATGCCATCCTAATGTTTTTTCCTATAAAATGGAAGCTTCATGCTTTACCGACTTAAATCATTCACAGCCATTTTTGCCAGTGCAAATATGGTACAGCAAAACATTCGGAGACAAATAGCTCCATGAAAAGCAAATTCAGCGTGATATGGACTCCCTTTGCACAGATCCCCCTTGTATGACGAATCACCGTACTGCTGCGGCACATCCGGATCCATTGTACATGGACAATCATCAAACGCATTCACTAAATTAGCACAAAATATTTTCATCTATATCAAGCACATGATTTTATTGCAACACCATCAAAAAAGACAATTGAATGTATCTGCAAAAGTTTCCATCAGTTGATTGCGGGTTATTTTTTACAAGTGTGACTAAAAACTCTTTCTGGCTTGCTTGGATGAAAATCACAATCAAGAAGGGCAAAGGGACATAGAATCACAGAGTCATAGAATGGTTTGGGTGGGAAGGGACCCCCAGAGGTCACCCAGCCCAACCCCCCCGCAGGAGCAGGGACACCTTGAACCACACCAGGTTGCTCACAGCCCCGTCCAACCTGGCCTGGGATGTTCCCAGGGATGGGGCCTCCACCCCCTCTCTGGGCAACCCCTGCCAGGGTTTCACCACCCTCACTGTAAAGAATTTCTTCCTTAGATCCAGCCTAAACCTGCCCTGGTTCAGTTTAAAGCCATCTCCCCTTGTCCTGTCCCAGCTGGCCCTGCTAAAAAGCTTGTCCCCCCCTTTCCTCTGGGCCCCCTTGAAGCCCTGACCGGCCGCACTCAGCTCTGCCCGCAGCCTTCTCTTCTCCAGGCTGAACACCCCCAACTCTCCCAGCCTGGCCTCATAGGAGAGGTGCTCCAGCCCTTGGATCACTTTTGTAGCCCCATCTTTCGTTTCAGTTTATAATTGAAATCCAAGCTCTGCTCAGGATGCCCAGGTATTTCTGTGAAATTCTTCCATGCCCATGGTGGATGGCTTTGGAGTCATCTCATACGGCGTGGGTGGAATTTGTCTCATCTGATAACACAGCACACCCTGGTTGTACTGGCATGTCTACTACACCCTAGGAGGAGTCCAACAGCACGTGAGTACATGAGCCATCTGAGAGAAGGAGAACGTAATGAAAAAGGAGAAACTACCAACGAGGAGGGGTTGAGCAGCACTTTCTGTTTGAGGAACAGAATTTCTAAGTTCTTAAAAAATAGTATTTATGCCTTGGTATGTCCTTACTTCCAGCCAAAAACCATGACTGCCATTGATGAGGACACAATAAACTCTGTTGCCGGAATGGCCACAAAACCTAGCTGGGACCATAAAATAAATATTCATAGGGATAACGTGAGACTCAGCACTGTGCTCTTGTGGCTTAGCTGAGAGCATGACTCCAGCCAAGTAAATCGGAGCTATCCCAGACACCGTGAGGCGAGGTGACTTCGTGGCTCCGAGCTGAAGCGTTGCAATACCCCCAACTTGTCTTGAAAGCTGTGGTGTCATTTCCAGCCCAGAATTACTGACGTGTGTCTGGGACCTCCTGAGAGAGCATTGCTGAAAGATGAAAGTGTCTTTTTTTGGGGGGGTGGAGGGGGGTTGTTTTTTTTCTGAGATGACACCAAACTATTCACAGCTTCCTCAGGAGTGGAGAGGTTCTCCAGTTCCCAGCCGTTCCTTTCTTGGAGGCTTTGATTTTTTAAAAAATCTTCCTTAAATATCAGATCTGCTTGTATAATTCTGATGATATGACAGTGTAACGACAGACCCTTTAGTCTGATACAAAGAGAATACAACCCTAACA